GCAGGATATGTCAAGTTTTTTCCAAAGTGAAAAATAGCCAATGCTTTATGTGGGACAACATCTGGACAGCAATGAGGGAATCGCTACTGTTATTTCCACAGTTAAGGTGGAAGTTGAGTAAAGATTAAATTCTTGTGCTAGTTCACTTATTACTCCTGGTTAGGTGAGGTACACAATTCCCATGAAAAACTGAACATTTTTAAATTAGAGATCTAAATTTAAAGACCCCTACGTAAGGAAGAACAATGACTGTACGATGGACTGCAGAATCAGTGCTGGTAGGATTGCCAAGGACTTCCTGTTTTCCTGCAATAAACAAGGGGAAAAGCCTTGCTGGGAAAGCCTGGCTCTCTTCACTATCATGCACCCACAGACTTATCAAAACAGTGTGCTAACAACTGCTGCTCAGAAGGGTCTGTAACCTATTTAAGAAAAATCGTGGCACAGATTTTCCTAGATTCTGCATTACACACAGAGCCCAATATAATGACATAATGATAACCACACTGACACCCCTCAGATCTTGAAGGCAGAATATTTGCAAAGATCCAAACGACACAGGCTTGAGCTTCAGTAAGGTGTACTTCCAGTCTGATGAGGGCTTCACTTGATTTTTGTATAATAAATCCTACTATACTCCTTTTCAAAATATATTGTAAATACAACTTGTCCTGACATTTTTTTCTTTTCAGCAAATACTGTGAGGAACTTCAGCTGCATTCAAAAATTCTTTTACACTCACAAAGGAATATACCTTCTACGCCTCCTGAAAGGGAAGAAAGGCAGAACTTTGGTATCGGCTTGGCACACAACTGTAGCAATATTTTATTCTTGACAAATTGTGTGATTTGAGTTTATCCTAAGAGGTCATGAGTTACATTACTTAAGAAGGTCATACGCATACCTAATCATAACAATTACTGGTAGCTGTAAATTTGAAGGGAAGATCCCTAAATATTAGGAACACCAGGTTCTTAAGAGTCAAGGTCTTCAAAAGTCTCAGCTGTGAAATACAACAAAATTGACTGCTCAAGTCATCTAAAGACTGCCTAGTGCAACGTTATGTAACAACATGAAAGATGTGTCTCATTCCAAAAATATAGTTCAATCTAAAATGCCCTAGTAGAGACAAGTGAGAAAAAGACGCAAGACTACCTAAATAGAAATGTTTTCTAGTTTGGGCAAGTAGTTTTGTTAATGCAGTAATGAAAAAAAGGCCCTAATAAAATGTACTGAAGTACTTAGGAACAAGTCTTCTCCAAAGGAGATCAGCAATTTCCAGTGTCAAAGGAACTGAGAAGTCAAGATACTTTGCCCTGCGTGAATAACCACATGGGAAATAGCAGATGTGAAAAAATCCTAAGAATGAAGCAGTAAATTCTGACTAGGCTGTACTTGGACTATTAGAATGGCAGTGGCACTATTTCACTCAACGTTCTGACCTAGAGCAAACAAGAACAGCTGGAGTGCACATGGATGCTTCAAATGCTGGAGGCATAGCAGGCACAGAATTAGCAAACCTAGTGACCCAATGTAGAACAAACCTTACTTGCAGCAAAGCAGACAACACAGTCATTCAATGGAGACGATTGCCCATTATACAGAAAATTACTTTGATATGTTCCTGTAAACAATGCAAGATTCCTGCTGGGAAAATCTTAAGGGCATTATAGGCACACATAAAGGTGAAAGGCTTTCAAGTGATCCAATTTCAGTGAAAAGGCATTCTGATATTTAAAGTACATGTAGATCTGAGGCAAATATCATTCTGGATTTACAGCCTCAGACTCCTGGCATATGGAGATAGGATCTATTCAAGATAGAAAAAAAGTCAACATTATTTTTCAGTGAAAAAAAAAACCATGAATGCCAGGCATGTACAGAGCATCACTCAGTCATGTAATTTCTTTACCACTGGTTTTCCTTTCTTTAAGATACACGCATCCGCTTTAGGATTGTCAATCTGCTATTAGATGTTCTCTGACAAAAAACTACTTTAGAAATAACTGATGGAGTGCCCGTATTAGAACTCTGGTTAGTATGTGAATCGTCTTTGCCACACAGTTTCAGACTGCGTCCCCATGCACTATGACAGACAAGCATGCCAAGCAGGGTGCGGAGGATGCCATGTACCTAGAGCTTCCTTCTTGCCCTGGATGAGACTCAGACTGCAGAGATTTGAAGCAGAGGAAAAATTGAGGCAAATGTCATTTTTGACTTGAAGGCAAGAGTTATCAATAAACCCTATCCTATGTCTTAGAGCCCTTTATACTTTTTATCATGAATTCCAGCTCATGGCTGGGTATTCTTACTGGCGCTTCTGCAGTGCAAGTCCATGTACAGGTACTAAGTGGCGAATGTGGGGAGGAAACAGCACACCGATCATTGTGATGCAAGCAAAAACAAAGGTCACAGAAAAACATCAGATTTATTTTCGTGATAGAAGATAGGTTTATTTGAGGATACTTTTCACCACTTCTTTCCCAAGATACAAGAAAGGATGGTGGTGGGTGGAGGGGAATGCCTCTATTCATCCTTTTAAGTTTCACAGGAACTTCCTTCAAAATTCCTAGCTAAATCCAAGACTATACTCTTCCAGACTGCAAAATGGTCTTCATACTTTAAAAAATTAATAGGGTTTACACATGGAGTACAGTACCTTAACTCTTGCCTCCAGCATTATAGACATTAGATCTGTTGATAGGATTTCTATTCTTTGTATGATTTTGTGTACGCTAGACAAAGCTTAGAAATAATTATATAGGGTGCTTGTTTGAAATTACCTGCTTGTCATCTGACATGAAGTCATCTGCTTCCAAAGTTCTACTATTATAAAGCTTTCCAGAGAGCAGCACATTAAACTTACAATACCGATTCAATTCACAGGCCTGACAAGACATGGCTTTTTGATTTTTCAGGATTATGCGAACATCTGGGTAACAATCCACACGCTCCTGAAAAACAGATTTCAAATAACATTAAAGAATCTCTGTCAACTGAAAGATGCCTCAAATAGGCTGCTGAGTACTCTGTACTCGCAAAAAATTAGGGGCAGAGAAACCAAAGAGATTCAAACCTAAAGTCTTTCACCATTCAGTTGCAAACATGCACCTTCTCAATCATTTTCCAACACTTCGCTCCGGTCTAGTTCATTATTTCTTTCTTTCAGCTTCAGACCTAAGAATGGCTCCTGCATTTTTCTCTCATCTCTGTTTTTTGGAGGGTGTGAGGGTGCAATTGTATCAGTTGGTCTACTTCAAATAAATACATTGTATCTCTCCACTGGCCATACTCCATTATTACAGTGCTTATTAGATCACCACACTTGTCACACTACTCTAGTAATTTGTATATAATGACTAGGTTACTGTATATCACCTTCACATTTTTTTTTTTAAGTAATAGAAGGTTCATTATGAACATACTGGTTTATCTTTTTGCGGAAGGAGGAAGAAATTTTGTTATAACATTTAGCAAGTAGCAAAAAAATCCTCTGAAAGCCATCTGCTGAAGTCAGCAGCAGAAGCATTCAGGTAAACTAATTTTAGCAGGGCCTGTTGAGATAGGACAAGAAGCAACGGTTCTAAACTAAGAGAGGGTAGATTTAGGCTAGATATAAGGAAGAAATTTTTTAACATGAGGTTGGTGAGGCACTGGCACAGGTTGCCCAGAGAGGCTGGAGATGTCCCATCCCTCGAAACATGCAAGGCCAGGTTGGACGGGGCTCTGAGCAACCTGGTCTGGTTGAAGATGTCCCTGCTCATTGCAGGGGGGGTGGGCTAGATGACCTTTAAAGGTCCCTTCCAACCCAAACTGTTCTGTTATTCTATGAACTGAGAACAGATAAACTGAATGTTTATCTGGTTATCAGCGCATAAAATATTTTCGACATTCAGAATTATCAAAAAAAGTTACTTAAGGTAAAGAACAATGAGTTTCTGTTAAAAAAGTATATATAACTGTAGTGATTATTGTACCTTTGCTGAGAATTACAGTATTAAAAAAATCTGTCAGTAATAATATGACTTGGAGCCCACTTCAATATTTAAAGTAGAAGCTACATACCTTGTAGCGATCTTTCCAGCGACTTCTAGAGATTAAGTTCTCAAGACGAGGCTGAATGAAGCGGTCATCCAAATAATGAAGCGAGAGCAACATATCTTGCGCATACTTCTTTTGTCTTGTTCCATCTGTTCAGTGAGAGTCATTACTAATTTGCTGACCACCCTATGTTGTACAAGTTTCTTTAAAGAAAATTTTCAAGGATATTATGCTTCTGCATACTAAGAACTATGAATGACTTTAACAAATTATTACTGAATACATTTGCTACTGTTATCCATAAAAGTGATCCATGCATCTTTGATAAACTGATCGTATTTAAGTATTTTAAAAGTTTATCAGAAGAAGTACATGAATAAACTCTACAAGCAAGGTCAAAGCCAAAAGCTGTCATCCCAAATGGAGACCCATTCACCCAATTCCATTTCAAACAATGGAAAAAGGGAGGTGGGGGCAGGAAGTGTCTGGATGTTTGTCCAGTTTATGTAAGCTTTTCATAATGTCTAACGGTGGAGGTTGCAGTCCATGAAAACAAACTGCTCTGAGCTGCTTCACCGCAGACATTTTGACAACTCTCTTCATTACATAAAAAGAACACGTAGAAACTGACCTTTACACTTCAACAGCACAGTCAGGTGCCTTGAGTTAGGCAGCAGAAGTACTTACACATACTTACTCAAGCAAAAGCAATAAACAAGTATGAGGATGAGTAAAACTACCAGTATTCCACAGCTGTCTCCCAAATATGTGCTGGACACCAGGAATTAAACCAGACTTTCATAGGTGCAGGCCAGCTTATACTGTCTTGAGTTCAGCATGTACAGACATACAGATTAATTCAGCTACCTTCCCTAGTCTTTTAGCAATGAAATAGAATTCTTTATCAAAGAAACAGAACTGAGAAGGACCACTGGCTATCTAGCTTTCTGTATAAAAAACAGTTAATTTTCATCATAGTCACTATAATGACAATTAATTGTTTTTCCATATACACTTTACACACTCACATTTTCAGTAAGTCAGCTGTACTACAAGCTTGAAGAGGCTGTGCTAGACCATAAAAAAAATCCCCCACAATAAAAGCAAGTCTGAACTCTATACTAGTACCTGCTCTACATTCAAAATAATTAACATTCACCTCCATGAACTCAGAAAAATCCATTCTGTGTTATCAAAATATATCTTTGCAATGCTAGGCTATGTTGATACTATACAATCTTCTTCAGAAAGACAGAATACAACCGCCAGCTCACCAGCAAAGCTGATCTACTTCCAGTACCTTGGTAACAGGGTCCTGCAAGGTCCTGCACATGGGTTGGGACAAGCCCCAGTATCAATACAGGCTGGGGGATGAAGGGATGAAGAGCAGCTCTGAGGAGAAAGACTTGGGGGTACTGGTGGATGAGAAGCTGGACACCAATGTGTGTTCCCAGCGCAGAAGGCCAAACGCATCCTGGACTGCATTGCCAGCAGCGTGGCCAGCAGGTTGAGCGAGGGGATTCTGCCCCTCTGCTCCGCTTTGATCAGACCCCACCTGGAGTCCTGCGTCCAGCTCTGAAGCCCCCAGCACAAGAAGGACATGGAGCTGTTGGAGCAGGTCCAGAGGAAGCCACAAAGATGATCTGAGGGCTGGAGCACCTCTCCTATGAGGAAAGGCTGAGAGAGTTAGGGCTTTTCAGCCTGGAGAAGAGAAGGCTGTGGGGAGACCTTATAGCAGCCTTACAGTAGCTGAAGGGGCCTGTAGGAAAGATGGGGACAGGCTTTTTAGCAGGGCTTGTTGTGACAGGACAAGGGGTAATGGCTTTAAACTAAAAGAGGGTAGACTGGATATAAGGAAGAAATTTTTTACAATGAGGGTGCTGAAACACAGGCACAGGTTGCCCAGAGAGGTGGGAGATGCCCCATCCCTGGAAACATTCAAGGCCAGGTTGGATGGGGGTCTGAGCAACCTGATCTAGTTGAAGATGTCCTTACTCACTGCAGGGGGGTTGGGCTAGATGGCCTTTAAAGGTCCCTCCCAATGCAAACTATTCTATGACTCTATGAAGAAGTTGTTAGGTTTGTAGAGCAGATACAATTTGAAATAGAACGAAGCTATTACAGCATGAAACTGGAAAAGTTTACTTATTACTTTTCGTAAGTTTGTTTTCACTTGGTAAAACAAAACAAAACAGAGACCTGAAAGAACTAGCAGTGGGAGATGAAAGACATTTTTAGCTCCAAGAACACAGTCTTTATTCTGAAGTCTGTGATGTACTTCAGTTTCTCCATTCCTTCTTAGTTCCTGATGACACCAAAACTTCCTCTCTTTGGCGCTTTGCTGACTCCTTCCACAACCTGACACTGACAGTCCTCTCACTAATCACATCTTTCGACTGCATCTGAGACTACACATGAGGTTGCCATTCACCCCACTAGGCCAAATGCTAAAAAGCACCTCCTCAGCAAGAACAAGACAAGAAGTACTGACTGCAGCTGAAACTTGTTTAATCTGAAAGCACAAATCTTTAAAAAAAAGGGGGGGGGGGGGGGGGATCAGATATGATGTCATCACCATAACTAAATTATTTATAATCTATCAAATTCCTCTGAAAAAGCTACGGAGCACATGACATTTTGACAAATCAGCGAACCTTGCAATGTTTTCACTGAGATACCTACTTTGAAATTAATTCTGCTTTCGTGCTGGAACTGTTACTACTGATCAGTAACACAGTAACACTTCCCAACATCTCAGAATGCCTTCTAGGCTAAAAAGAAGTAAGTCTACACTTTTTTCCTAATTTACTCTGTAAGATCTCAGGACTCACAGTCCTATACTCTGATCAGGAAACACATCTCTTCCTAGAATAAATGTCATTGTATAACTTTGAACGCACTATCATATTATTTAATGCAATTTACTTACCATATAATGAGCTCAGAAAAGTGTCATCAATTGCATTTATGAGGAAAGCCTTTACTATTCTTTTGAAATGCACATAATGATCACAGCGAGACACTGGGAAGACAACAATATAACCAGAAATTACCAAAAAAAAAAAAAAGAAAAAAAGAAAGATGTAAGCAATGTTAGAAGTCCTGCAAGAAGATTTTTTTTTTTCTATTATTGTAAATTTAGAATTTTAAAGTAATTTAAATATGGATTTAAAAATAAATTCTATGTACAACATTCACACCCTTAAGACCTTGCCTTTAAATAGTGCTTCTCATCCCACTGATCTTAATGAATTTAACATCCTAAAGTCACATGTCCCTTCAGCAAGAAGAGCTCACACTAAGAGCTATAAACACTAAAAGAAGTGAATAATTTGTTCTATGAGTAGTAGGAAATGATGTAAACCAGAGAAGGCCAGGCTTATGGAGGTTTTTTTGTTTGTTTGTTTGTTTTTTCTTTTTTCTAACTTTCTTTCAAATACACACAATTCTGCTCAGGTCTTTACTGGGGAAGAAATACCACAAATGCTTGTGATTATCTACACTAGCACCGCCTGTCCAGTCAGTACATACCTGCTTCTGAACAACAACATGCGTAAGAAGAGAATTAGTATACAGTTCTGTTTCAAATCTTTCTGCTCCACACAGATACCAGTTTTCACAAAATATAAACTTGAAAAGTTTTCTTGCTCTGTGCGGTTCATCTGGAATCTACCGATGAATTCAGGAACCCCTACAGACCTGTGCTCCCAAGTCTCACAAATACAGAATAAAAATACATTAAAAAAAAAAAAAAAAAACAAAAAAAAAATTTTACATCACTCTCCAGAACAGAATTTGGCCAGAATTAACAGAGCTGCTCTTAGCATATATTACAAGACGAAGCACGATGCTTTTAGGTCTCCACAGGAATGACTGCATCATCGGTAGCCTACTTCATCCTAAACCAGGCCAACTTAAACAAAATCTGTGCAATAGGTCTTCCCATTCTTCCCCCCAAATTATACCCTCTCTTTAGTAAGATACAGGAAGACTGTAAAAGTTTACTGTGGAAATCAGAGTACAGAGTGCCACAATAAATTGAAGCCTTTCAGGAATCTAATTTTAAACTATCATACCCTATTACACAGTATTTGTATTTACGGTCCATTAATATTTATTACAGCACAAGTAAGTTATACATACAGAATTGTAACTAATTTTGGTCTTACAGTTTGGGATGTAGTGTGCCAGCAACTCGCTATTTGATGTCGTCAGTTCCTTCCGTTGTGGCTGGTTTTCACTCCTTAGGTGCTCTGTGTTGTCATCATCATCTTCCTCTTCCTCTACTATAAAATCTTTCATGCTATCACTGTCAGTTTCACTACCTTCTGTTGGTGTGAGGGGCAAGTGACAGCGTGGTTCTTCTTCTGTTTCCGCTTCATCATCAGAATCCTAATTAAATTTGAAAAAAGTACTTAAAACACAAAAATTTTCAGTAATTGCACTGATGAAATACTACATATACTGGATGATATTTTTTACCTTCTAACAACACCATTTGTTCAATTAACAAGAAATATCATGTTTCCAAAAAATACATCATTCTGTACTAGATGACCATCACTTTCATCTTTAAGTCAGCCATCTCCATGTACCTCTCTTCAATCTATTTGTAGGAATTAAGCTAACATGAGACCTTTAAGATACGTCAGCAGGTTTTTTGTTTCTTGATAAAAATAATGTGATAGTTCTCTTCATGTGTCTCTTCTTTATGGAAAAAAAGGAATGATAAAAAAGTTTTTCCTTTCTGACTACATATAGAAGAAAGATACCTGCGTTCTAAGTTGGTTAGTCATCAGCATGCCTGGAAGAGCAAATGAAAAGAAATTCTTAAATCCTCAGTGATTAAAATTAAACTCAAGATAAAGGTTTTCAGTAGTCAATATTGTTACCTAGATAATGTGACAAGTGTAAAAATATGACAGAGCTACTGATTTGACATGAATAAAAACTAAAGCAAAATAAATAAAATCCTACTGGTTTGCATCTATTAGTCTTTGCCTTCCCCTACATTCAATATTTTCCCCAACTTAATTTCAAAGACAAAATCCAGACCTCACAGTTTTCACTGCTGCAGGATCTCCGAGTTGCTCTTTGTCTTGCAAGTTCTTTCAATTTTGCAAACACTTTCTGTTTCCTATTAGTAGAAACATTTTCTGTAGGGCAGGTTTTATCAGGTTGCTGTTCTTCAGAACTCTCATCTTCATCCATTATACAGTGGCGTTTAGCAAAAACTTTCCTAACAAGTATATCACTGTCCTCACTTTCATCACTGTCATACAAGACAGAGGTGTTCAATCTTTTACGCTTCCCAGGCACGATGCACTCATCCTCACCATCTTCTGTTACTTCCCCAGCGTGGCTTTTCTCTTCCCAATCTGAAAGGGTGCTCTTCACAACAGTTTCCTCTACTTCGTCCACTTCATCTTCTGATGCGGTAGGCTCTTCCTCCTCAGAGGTACCTGAGGATTCATCATTGCTGTCAATCAGTATGAACTCCCTTTTAGTGCGCCTCCAATCAACTCGGGATTTGGATGATGACAGTTCTGTTCCTGCTGTCTTATTTCTTGTTTCGTATCTTCTGACAACCGTTTTTATCTCCATTGGAAGGCTGTGACAACACACCAAAGTACAAACCAGTAAGAAAAGCGTATATTACATTATCCTATTCCAAAAACCCGAAAGTACGAGGGCATGCATATTTTGTTACATAACCTTATGACTTCACAGTCTCAAGATACACGCAGGAACCAGCCCCTAACAAAACTAAGCACGCACAGTAACTTCTGGAGAGGACCCACCCGACTCAAAAACTGTAGCAGAGCGGCCCTGCCCACACCCAGCGCGAACGAACCGGAGAAATCAGCTCTGAAGCGCGGCTGCAGATCCCATCAGCCCCTCCCGCACCGGGCGCCTACAGCTGAGGCAGTCAGCTTCCCGCTCCCGGGGAACGGCGTGCCCCGCCCGGCCGGGACCGGGAGCGGCAGCAGGCCTCGGTGCGGCG